GAGTTCTCAGTTTGAATGTCATCTTCTGAGAGAAGCCGTTCCTGACTATGACAGGTAAGGTAGTCTCCATATCACTCGTAAGTCACCCTGCTTTCTCTTAATTCCAGCACTTATTTCAGCCTACTATTCTAGTCATGATTCATATATTTGTCTAATAAAGCAATAGAACATATTTCTATTCTAACAAAGACCTAGTTTGACTTAATCAACTTTTTTCTCAATGCTCAAACAATGTCTAGTAGAAGAAAGCAGTCATTTAATGACCATTTTTAATCACTGAATAATGAAATAATTTAAAAAAAATATTTGGTACTTTGGAAATTGCTTTTAATAGCTATCAAGAGGCCAGCCCAGTTTTGCTTTGAATACTTCCTTTCTGTGGTTGCATCTATTGAATTTCCCCTCAGTTTCTACTTTTACCAATACCCAGGCACGTTTTTATTCTACAAGGCCCCCAAAGCAGCCAGACAGGTAGATTGGAGAAGCAACACCATCAATCAGTGTCAAGTGTGTGCTGTTCTCTCTACTAGAAGGGCAAGCACTGTCATTCAAACACACACACAATCCCTTTGTATCTTCAAAAATTAAACTTCTACAAAAAGCAAAGAAGGCAATTGCTAAGGGTTGCTCAGAGGGTAGATGTCATTATGATTCACTTCTCAACTTCTCCGGTACAGTTGCTTCTGTGGAAGGCAGTGGATTTCTCTTGTCTTCTTCAGTTTAGGTTTATTGAATTTCTGAGTCTTACCATATCTTGTTTGTCAGGTATTTTGTCAAATTAAGAAGTAATGGGCTATACAAAAGAAAGTTAAATTTCCACAATAACTACTGCCCCATTTTCTGCCACCTCTATCTCCTAGCCCAGCTTCTAATATTGTATTTTCCTTCCTCTCTCTTTACTTTAATTGCATCGGCCCTCAAGGTACAGCCTTCCACAATTCTCCCACAATGCAACTGTGGAGTTCATTTTTTTTAAACCACTGAATTTATACATACTTCTTTAGCTCTTTGTGCCACCCAAGGTGCTTATCTCCAGTGGCATATATATACATATATATGTATGTATATATATATTTGGAGATTCAACCATTAATACAGTATGCCCAATATCTAATCTATTCCTTCTCCGCAAAGCAGAAATTCCTCATCCCTCCACTCAGTAACAAATCTGAAATAATTCAGCTTCTATTGTTTTTTCACCTTTCACAATCAGTCATCATGAAACCATCTAAATCCCCTATTACCCACCACTTCTTTACCACGATTTCATTAGTCTAGATTCACAGCACAACAGCCTAAGTTTCATGCACCTCTTTCCAACTTGCTCATTCTGTCTCGGTCTCTTTCTCTTTATCATATGACATGTGTGTATTGTATGTACGTTTTCATCTGCATGCACACATAAGTGTATCAAAGCCAGAAGTCAAAATCAGGTGTTTTTTTTATCCCATTCCACCTTATTTTTGGGGAACAAGTCTTCCATTGAACCTGAGCTCAGATTCAGTTAGGTTGGCTGACCAGTGAACTCCAGGGATCCACCTGTCTCCATCTCCCATCAGCACTGCGTTTACAGACACACACCACTGTGGCTGGCTTTTACATGGATGCTGGTGATCCATACTCATTTCCTTATACTTGCACTTTACTGACCAAGGCATCTCCCAAGTCCTCAAAGTCTCTCAAAGTCATTACATTTACCTTTGTATAGAATCAGATTCTTACAAATCATCTGAAATATAACTGGATAAATAAAATTTCTAAGTGTGGGGCCAAAATTCTACATTTTAACAAATTTAGCAATATAATCCCCATACTAGTTTTTAGAACTCCTAACATGAATCTACCTACCTCCCATTTCTATCATGATCCAAATGATTTTTCTTCTATTCATACATGTACAAATGTTTACTTTGGAACACACTTCTGTTTAAAGATAACTTTATATTGTATGCTTTACAGGCATTTGGAAGTGTAAAGTGGATTTGGGGGCTGGGGAGATGGCTCAGAAGGTAAAGGCACTTGCTGCCAAGCCTGATTATCTGATTTTAGTCCCATGAATGTACAGGATGGAAGAAGAGAACCAACTTCCACAAGGTATCCTCTGTGTGGCACACACCCCGGCCCTTGGACCCACACATAAATACAATGTAATTAAATAAAATGTAAAATATACAAACAACTTCATTTTTAAAAAATAAATCACGAAGTGGATCTTAAGGGTGAGAGCCTCTTAATTTTTTTTTTTTTGGTGTTTTTGAGACAGGGTCTCTCTGTAGTCCCAGCTGTCCTGGAACTCACTATGTAGACCAGGCTGGCCTTGAGCTCACAAAGATCCACCTTCATCTGCCTCCCAAGTGCTGGGATTAAAGGCGTGTGCCACCATGCTCGGCTCAGAGCCTCTTAATTTTAAATAGCAAGCAATGATTTGGGAGAAAAAAAAAAGCTGACCTGATTGTTAATCTTTGAAAATTCTGCTTTTAAGGTCGCCTTTGGAATAACATCTTGGAACTTAATTTTGGGGAGTTTCCATCATTCTCAGGAAGAAGTAAGAGTGGCTCACTTTATCTAAAATGCTTTTAGGAACAATATAGGTTAAGGCAAACACCTGCTTTCTATTACAAGGGCCTGGAATTTGGGTACATGCCAGGCAGACTGTGTAAATGTGAGCAGCTTTGATAAAAAACCCTGGGTTCTAAGTTTCTTACGAGCATCCTTTTCTTGTCAACATTTCACATACATTGTTACAAATCAGTACTCAGGGAATTAAGTATATCCTGTGTGGCTCCACTACGGAAAGACTTTTCGGACCTTGCACCAGCTTTGTCCTGAACTCTACCGCACATATCTTTTCCTATGATGACTGTATTTGGTATCCTGTTGCTATAATAAATCATAACCATGGGTATGACTTTGTTGAGTCCTATGAAGGTTAATAGCATGTCACCAAATCTCAGGATAGTCTTGGGGACCTCCTAATAGACAAATCAATGTTTTCTACAACTAATTTCTTCTCATAGAATAGAAGAAGCATCAGCGGGTAATCAAAACATGGAAATCCTGATTTAGCTTCTAAGTTCCATTATTTCTCTGAGCCATGGTTTCCTCATCTATAAAACTGGGCCAAGAATGTTTACTTTGCAAAAATATTATAAAGATAACATAAGCAATCCACAGTGAATATCCTTTATGGTGTAACTATTATTTTCATTCGACATTGCCAGGTAAGATTAAATGATTAGAAAAATTAATATAGATCCAATTTTATCCCTATTTTAATCCACATGTAACAATGGAAGTAATTATGTGAACTCAAAAGATCACAGCTACGTTGGAATTTGTGAATAGATTATTTTACTCAGGGTGTACATGCAGGTTCTCTAAGGACTCACAGCGGGAAATGCATGGAGAGCAAGCAGAGAAAAGCAGAAGTTTCTATTCATTCCCTGCTTTCAATGCATGACTGGTTGTTTCTTGCTTTGGGGACCCTACAAACTCCACTGATTTCTGGACCCTACAAACTCCACTGATTTCTGGACCCTGATCTAGCTGCCAATCCATCCGCACTGCCTCACCTTTACTTGAATGCTCAGCTATTCCTTCAACTGGATAATTTTCCAACCATTAATTCACACGTGACTCTTGCACTCCTTTTCACCTGGTGCTACTTGGAGGATCTCGACTAACACTTCTCTTTCTCCTTTCACTTCATTTTGTCATTTGCTTATGAATAAAGTATATTTTACTTTCATGGAATCAGTTACCAGGCAAATATAACCCCATTTAGTAGCAGTGTATTCAGAAGAATAATTCATTTATGTTCATCTATTCTTTGTGTCCGTAGCATCCAGATGACACCAGCATCACTTCTTAGTACACTTTGCCCTATATGAAATAATATATCTTCAAATATTGAAGGTTTGAAGACGGGTTATTGTATTGAAATATCTTTAGGAAGTCAACTAAGGTGAATTCCTAAGAATGTACCAGAGTAGTTGTTATAAAAAGCAGACAGTACTTGTTAAGGTATGCTTTGTGTCACATATTTTTAGGAAAAAGAAAACATTAGTCTTCCCTATTGTGATAAAACATTTAACCAAGACATTTTTGTGTGAATTTATCAGCTAGAAATTATATAGTGATAAGATCATTTCATGAGGAGTCAGATGGCATACATTTCACCTTTCGATATGATAATAAGCAAGAACTTTTTGCCACCTCTGCTTTCATCTAGGCGGCTGTTGCCTACTAGTACTTGCCAAGATAGTATCAATGCAAGTGATGGTGGCACTTCCCTAGATGGTGGCTTTGAAGCAAGCAAAGCTTCTCCGTGCTGTCTTCTCCTAAGTTTTGGCCCAAGGTTGATACCCAGGGTGACCTTGAAGAGCACATATTGAAGATGAGACAGCCACTCTGTGCCAGAGTTTCTGAATGAGCATGTGTTTTAGTAATATGGCATTTTCTTTTTCCGGTCAGCAGTATCTGTACAATATCAGTACCTTGGTATTTGAGATTGTGTGGGATGCAGTGAGTATGTTCCTAATTGAGCAATTTCAATTCTGTACAGTAATATATTTAGGTTGTCATCAGGATTAAATCAGTTAGAACAATACCTGGCACACAATTAGTGTCCAATAAGTGTTAAGAAATCATATTATTAATACTTCTGAGTTATGAAACTTTGAATATGTCAACTTCCCTGGACGTCCACTTCCTTGACTATTAAACGTAAGGGTTATGTTTGATCATTTCTGAGTTTCATTGAATTTAGAAATTTATCATGAGAATTCTTTTAAAAATTGCTAGAAAAAAAACATAGAAACAGGCCAGAGGATTAAGGAGAGGCATTACAAACATCAGGTGAAGAAAGATTCATGAAAAAAGAGAAGTACAAAGGCCACCAAGAGTGGACATCATTATTTAAGGGTGGGACATATATTCTTTTTGAAATGGATCCATCAAATTTTGAAATAAATTTTGAAAAGAAGAAGACTTTTACAAACCGAGCGGTGTCCGTGAGACTTTCATTCACACCCAAATGGATGTCTTGTGTGGTAAGAAAACAAGGATGTCCTCCAAGAAGAGCAAAGCCTACAATAAAAAAATGAAGTATTTTGTAAAAAAAAAAACTAGACTGCAAAACAAAATTATGAGGCATCAGCACCATCTCAATAGAAATGTTCTCCACATTAAAGCTCTTCAACCTCTCTGGTAGGAAATTCCCAAGCATAGCAAAATGATGAATTGAGATAAGTAGATGAAATTTTTTTGCAAAAATACTTTCTTTCAGATACATGACCATTTCTCTACCCTTTTGGTCAGGAGCTGGCTGTAATGGAGCATTGCCTAGTTCTTATTCTTTAAATTATAGAAATATATCCATCTAGGAGGACAGAAATAAATGAGCTTTATGAGACATTATGGACTATAACAGAATACTACTCAGTAATAAAATGAGTGAAATTCCAGAAACATTACACTAAAAGAAAAAAAATGAACATTTATTGAAAAAGTTTAGAAGTAAATATTTAGTCTAGAGTGGAAGAAATTGAAATAGTGGTTGTTTCTGTTTAGGGCTGTGTGACAAAAAGAGCACTGGGGCATTTTCTCAGTTAACTGAAATGTTTTCCATCTTCATAGAGCTGCTAGATTACATGGATATACGCATTTGTCAGCACTTAGCAGTTCATTTAAGATTTGTACTTTTTACTCTACATAAATTTTACTGTAATTTTTTTAATTGAGCCAGTTGTGGTGGCACACAGTTTTAATCCCAGCACTTGGGAGGCAAAGGCAGGCAGATCTCTGTGAGTTCAAGGCCAGCCTGGTCTACATAGTAAGTTCCAAGCCAGCTAGGGCTACAGGGAGACCCGGTCTCAAAAAAAGCAAAAAAAATTTTTCGTTGAGCTTTTGTAATTTCCTGTACAATTTCTTAATCAAATTTAGACCCCCTCCTCCATCCATGCTGCCCAACCCCCAATGAACCTCATGTATTCCAACCTCTTAAGTGCCATCCAGTCAAGCCTTTGTACCCAGATGTCCTTCAGTGTAAATTCATTCACCGGAGTCTATTCAGTCCATGTGGAGATCGTATGTAAGGCTATACTTTAATATTTAAAATTTTTCAAATAATGTAATGAAGGCATTGAAATTGTGGCTTTAAGTCACTGAGTTAAAGGGTCACTCTACCATTTAATCCCATTGTCTTCATCTTCTAATGAAGACATAGATAAGTACCTCTGAAACATTACCCTCACTGCTTTTCCACCATCCTTTCGTGGTAAGAGCACTGCAGATGTCCGAGTAGAGGAACCCGGCTTATGCCCTGCTCTCACTGCACATTCCCTCAGGCTGAGGAGGATTAGACACACAGAAGTCTTCTCCAAGCCGGAGTTCAACTAGGTGAGCACAAGCAGAGACCTTTTGACACGTGATCTGGGGCAAACTTGTGGGAGATCGTGACAGCTAGCCAGAATTTTATTATCATGCTTGAGACATTTCTCGAGTGTATAATGAAAAGCAAATAAGCACAATTTCAAGATAATGATTTGTTTTAGGTATTTTTCAAACATATATTTTACCCTCTATTTTGTAATGTGTTTAATTTCTCTTTGGGGAAATGTATAACTGTCGCAACTTGCTAATCCCATCTGTTTAAGGGATTTACCTTGTAAGGAGAAAATCATTAATTGCCTGGTGAATTGGGTAAGGGATTTTAGACCCACAAATGAGAGTTTGAGTCAAGGTTTCATGAAAGCCTCCACTGATGTCTAAACACAATTTGAATAATATTATTTCAGTATGGACTGATATTAAATGATATTAAGGAATCATCATTTTGTTACTGACATTGCAGTTACTTAGGAAAATATTCTTCATGTTTTAAATAATGCAAATGAATGTATTTGGGGATAAAGGGTCATAAACCATTTTGATTGACTTTAAAATACTTTAGCAATAAGAATGATCAGACAAGCTGAGGAAGACATGGTAACAATTGGTAGACTAATATAAGGCATATTGCTGTGCTCTTTATGCTCGTCTTTCTAATTCTGTATTTATCTGAAAATTCCTATTATAAAGAATAAAAGGCAAATCAACCACAATAGCCAGTATTTCTGTCACTGTGACTGTTATTATACTCGAGGCTATTATGTCCTGAATCTTGCAATGACTACTCACAAAGTTAGATTACTTGCTGGCACTTTATAAACATTTCTCCATTGATTTCCCCCCAAGAAAGGGCATAGCAGATATTATTATAAGAACTGTATAGACAGAGACTCTGAGAGTCAGAGTCTGAAAAAGAGTGACTATAAATCCTGGCCTCACACCACTGTTCTGACATTTATCCGATATATTCTTTTTTAATTAAAATATTTTATTAGCATTGCTTTCTTTAAGAAGTAACAAGATTACTTTGAAAGACTTTGTAGAGGTGGAGAATCTGGAAAGTGAGTGAGTGGGAAATTCATATTTTGGGAACAGTGACAAATTTCATATTATTTTTGAAGCTTGACAGTATTTCCAATAAACAGTATTCAAAAATTATCATAGGCATATAGAATTTTCTTAAAGTATGGCTTCTAGTCCTGTCTTAGGCAGTGACAGAAGCATTGTAAACAAGATATAATTCTTTTTAAAATATTTATTTTTATTATATATGTATGAGTGTATTGCCTGCATGTGTGTGAGTGCATCTGTGTCATGCAAGACCTGTGGAGGTCAGAAGAGGGCGTTTAATTCCCATGGAACTGGAGTTATGACAGTGGTTGTGCTGGGAATTGAACCCAGGTCCTCTGCAAGAGTAGCCAGTGCTCTTAACCTCTGAGACATCTCTCCAGTTCCAATAAGATATAATTCTTTGCCTTCCTGTAACTTATATTCTAGTGGGAAGAGACTGATCGTAAACTGAGAGCATAAGTTGAATATATTATATGTTAGATGCTGGTCAGAGCTATGAAAGTTGAGTAAGAAGGGGCAAGAGGAAATGTAAGAGACAGGAATTGTCATTTTAAGTATCATAATCAATGAAAGCATACTGACTCGGGGATATTTCAGTGAAGATGGAGGGATATGAGAGAATGGATCATGAGAAACAGGGTAGCCTGGAAAGAGTAGTTACAAGAGCCTTGTGTAAGTATCAGAAGTGGTGGGTTCTGTGTGTGAAAGATACAGAGCATTGGAGGAGAATAGTAGGGGTGATGCTGCAAAAGGTAGGTGGGGATAGGAGATAATAACTGACTTTTGGCTGAAGAAAATAGAAATCTATTAGAGGTTGGAGCAGAGGAGTAATACATTTAGACTTATGTTTTAATAAGATATAAATAGTGGGGTAGAATCGAGGACACCAGTTAGGAGACATTTGTAAAATCTGAATGAGAGTTAAGAATTTGGACAAGTGATCGTATGTAAGTCATACTCTCCCTCGCCCAGCAGATAAATCAGGCTAAAATAGTTGTCAGTCTAGTGCTGGCCAGCCACCTATTTCTCACCTTCTCTTTGGGCCCTTGTTTAATTGAGCTGACATGGGGTCCCTGTTCAATGTGACTACTGCCACAGGTTCACATGAGCAAGTCTCCAGTGGCCTGGAAGCCTCCACCTCCCAGTGTTCATGAACTAACCCTGGCTCTTACAGCCTTTCTGCTCCCTCTTCCACAATGGTCCCTGAGCTGTGGGTGGGTGAGATTCCATTTAGGAGCCACATCCGACATGCTGTAACTTACATACAACCACTGGGTGGGTTGACTAGACTCCAGTGGACACATTTACACTGAAGGACATTGGGGTACAAACATCTGAATGAATAGCATGTATGGCAGAGTGCATGGGGTTTGGTGGGGGGAAGGTGGAGGCATGGATAGAGAAGGGGACCTGGATTTGATTGAGAAATGTTGTATGAAACTAATAATGCTCAATAAAAAGAAAAGAATTTGGACTAGAATGACAACAGCTGAAATAGTGAGAAAGTGGTTGGATATTTGAGGTAGAAGCAGCACTCAACTGTTATCCCTATTTCTTATCTCAATGAGTGAATTACAGCTATCAGAGAACTTGTGGGCTCCACCGCCACAAGTTCCCACCTGCCATCATCTGTATCCATATGCTCCACTTTCTTTCCTGTTTAGCATAGATGAACTTTTCATATCCCACATGTCTATGACTCTTCCTACTGTCTTATATGCTTTCCATTGCCAAATCATCCATGGTTTTCAGATATTCGCTCAAATGCTTATCATCCTATTGTATTGTCTTTGTTCCACACTTCCATTCATATACTAGAAGCCAACCTCCTTTGCCTGCCTATGACTGTATTCTAATAATTTTTTGCCATATGCCACATACTTCACAAGCTATACTCATTTTTTGTTCATTTATAAAAATCATTTTTTCATGGCACTACTTTCTCTGTGAAGTACCACTTTAATTCATTGCTCCCCCTTATAGAAAAACTCACCTCTCTCTCTTTCTCTCTCTCTCTCTCACACACACACCTCATTTCCATTAAACCTAGCTTTATAAGTCTTTAATAATCATTATGACATCAAAATGACCTTCATGTAGTTACATCAAGTGGCCATTCCTTTCTCCTCTTTCTTCTCAGTCTCTCTAACAAAGTGGAGCACCAGTTTCTCCTTAACAAACTTTCTTCACATAAAGTCCAGGATATCACATGTTCTTGCTCATATACTTCTTTGGTAATAAGTGTTCTTTCTCAACCTGGATTTCTGCTTCTTCTATTTTCCTTGATTTCTGAACATTGGAGCATTCCAGCTTCAGTTCTTGGTCCTTATCTCCCAATCTACATTCACTCTCTTCATTTCAAGCACCATGGCTTCAAGTACCATCTCTATGGTGGTGATTCTCCAGTATCTCTAAGCTACATCTCATTCTCAAACTACAGACTCATCCAACTGCGTTTTCAGCATCCTTCTTTCTGTGTCTAACAGACATCTCAGACTCAATATAAGCAAAAGTGAATGCCTGATCTTTTCCTTTCAACCTGCTCCACCTGCTGCTTTCATAATTATTCAGGCAGAAACTTTGAAGTCATCCTTTATATCTATCTTTTGCCAAGTATATTTAATCTC